AAAAAGTGTAAAGCATCCATCTTAAAGATGGATGCAAGTAGTTCCATCTAAAAACAATAAAAACTAACGGTCCAAATATTGTTTTACGAAAATTATCATTTTAGTTTTTTTAAAACTTATTCGTTTTTTTCATATTCAAGATCTCCTGTTAGAGATTACATGTCTTTAAAAATTAAGTCTTAAAATCCATCTAAAAAATAGATTTATTAAGAGACCCGCATTTCTACATATGCGGGCTTGGCCGCATAGAAACCGGGTCCATAAAGTTCTCATGATGTAGTACAAGGTTAACATGGTGGATTTGGTCCTATCCAAAATCACCCACATTAGAAAATCTTATATTATGTGGGATTGAGATATTATCTTATTATGTGAGATTGGGATATTTCCTTATTATGTAAGATTGATATTGATATTTGATAAGTTTATTAAATGAAATCCAAAAATATTAGGATTCTTGGATATATCTCTTAGTCTTTTGAAGTATATGTAACATCAATAAGAAGTTTGTTATTTAATGTGGATTACTAACCTTATAGCTATATATAAGATAAAGGTATAGAGAATTCGTGTACTCTATTTCGGTCACCATACGGGAAGGGTGGTTTCCTCTAGAGAGAGGGGAGCAGAGCACCTTGTGCGTAAGATGCAAGGTTTCCTCTTAGAGAGAAGAGAGATGTTTCCTTTTAGAGAGAAGAGAGCTTCCTATAGATATAAATATTGTGATTGTGCCTTTTATATACTCTCGAAGATTGAGATGTTTGTTTCTCTATTGTAGACTCTCAAATATTGAGATATTTGTTTCTTGTAGAGAAGTGGTTTCCATAGAGATTTTGGTTATTTTCCCTTTCAGTTAGAGAGAAAGTTAGTTTCTCGTTGTTATTGTATCTCTATCTAGTGTTTTCGGCAATAGTTCTCAGAAGTAAAGAGAAGAAGAAGAGAGAAGTTTAAAAGCGTTTTCTTGAATGTGTTTTTATCGAGGTTAGTTTCACAATCTTTGATGTAACTTTCATTGGTATGGTGGATTTTAATTTACCGTTGCTATCACGTCTCTATTTGGTGTTTTCGATAATAGTTGTCAGAAGTAAAGAGAATGAAGGAAAGTGAAGATAAGGAAGGGAGAGTGGTTTAAAAAAGTTTATTCGACTGTGTTTTTGTCGGGATCAGATCCAAAATCTTTGACATAACTTTCATTAGTATAGTGGATTTCAATTTACCATGCCCATGGATGTAGTCTTTTTGGATGAACCACGTAAATATTTGTATTCTTATGTATGCGTTTTATGTTTTATTTCTCGTACTAATCAACATATCGGGTTTAGAGCTTTCGCGTACAATAAAACGCTCTTAAACTCTTACAAGTCATATTGATATAAAATCAACTCTCTTTAATGGACATAAATGATAAGTGGGAAAGGAGCTTTGGTCGTAGTGGCAGCACCTCTACACGCTAGTGACCATGTTTTAACTTTCATTGCCACTAACACTACACCACTAACGCCTTAGAAAAACTACCTCCTAAACTATTTTGAAAAAATCGATAAGGGCCTGATTTCCCTAATGAATTACCCAAAACATAATAATAAAATAAAGAAAATAAAAATTAATGATACCAACCAATTCTTATTTTCATATGAAATACCCGTAGCTCATGTACTACATATGAAAGAGAGACACAAATTAAAAAAGAATGGAAGCAAATAAAGGGACACGCTCGTAAAGAGAGAGAGAATTGGACATTACAAAAGATTGAAGCACGAGAGAGAGGTTTGAGAGAGAGAGGGAGCAGCTAGAGAGATTTAAGAAGAAAGAGAGGTTTGAGAGAGAAAGAGAGAGGGAGCATCTAGAGAGATTTAGGAAGAAAGAGAGAGGTTTGAGAGAGAGAGAGAGAGAGAGGGAGCATCTAGAGAGATTTAGGAAGAAAGAGAGAGCATTCAGAGGGAAAGCCTTGAGGGAAACGCCTAGTATCTTTGCAGTAGTCATAGACCATGTAATTCTTCTGAACCCATTTCAACCTTTCTTCAGCAGTTGAGTCCATGCCTTGATTAAACCAACCATTTGAAGCTTCACCACACTGACTTTTTGTTGTCGAATAAGAAGACACAACACAGGCATTGGCTTCAAAGTTAGAGAAAGAAGCCATGAACGGGGCTTGAGACCAATCAGTCTTGACCAGGCCACCCCTTGTGGCCCAGTTATCTGCATCCCAAAGGCTGGAGTAAAGCCTCATGGCTTGGTTTTTTGGGTAGGGGACTCCCTTCGATTCAGCATTCTTGAACACTCTTATTGGGGTCCCATCTACCGAGAACCTGCAATTTTTCATGTACAGGGTTAGAGAGAGAAAGAGAGCGAAGAGGGGGTTGCCTATGTACATGATGTAGAAAGACTGAGAGCTTTAAGACAGAGAGAAAGCTCTTCCTTGGAGAGGGAGAGCGTAGGTCGGGTCAGCTCCGGCCCATCCAGACCAGACCAAAAAATATTAAAAATATGTATTTAAATATTATATCAGTTTGATATACACATTTATTATGAAGAGGGTTACATGCATGGAAAAGAAGACTATACCTATTTATTTTTGGTACAAAAAACTCATAATCGTGAAGAATAGTTGAAGGGTGAAAGGTGCCGTTTGTATAGAGCCTAGGCTCTAAACAATCAAATTAGAGCCCACTTTCAAATAGTATCGAAAAATATGATTTTAATGCTGAAAATCTTTTTGATAGCCTTAAAATATATTTTCATCTTTATTTATAAAGCTTAAAGCTTCACAAAATAGTGTAGATTGAGAGATCTATGAAAACTTGAAAGTCTTGAAAATTGATGGTCCAAAAATGCATTACAAAATACACTATTTCCAAAACTTGAAATCTAATTTTTTCTCATGTTCATGCATCTTGATGTTGATATGATCAATTTTAAGATATTTAGGTATCAAAACAACATCTTCTAGTGAAATTTTTAAGGTAAGCTTGAATTTTATTGTTTAGAGCCTCGGCTCTATATAAACTTTTCCCATAGTCAGAATATGAGATAGGGTGGCTGAATATGTGTCAATAAGTGGGGAATAAAGTTTAAAAAAAAGTTTTTCAAAGTATAATATAATTTAAACAATAATATTTCATATCTGAGAATTGTGATTGTAATAAAAGTGAAATGTCTTCAGAGTTTCTAATCCCTACCAGTAGTATGATAGAGAGAAACCGATGGAGAGAGAGCGTTAAAATGTGAAAGTCCAAAGGATAAAACGTCCCACCTATAGATGAACAAGATAGAAGATAGATATAATTAATGACGATTTGAAATCAAAATCAAATCGTCAATAGAGATGCAGCAAAAAGATGGATAACTACCGGCATGATACAGAAGAAGTGAGAGGGAAGAGTACATACAAGTTGTAGAGAGAGGAAGTAGTGACATGAGTATAGACATAGAGGGAGATAAAGAGAGAGAATACTTACATGACTTGGATTGGGTTCCAAAGGACGGAGTAGGTGTGGAACTCTTGGGTGGGGTCAAACCAGAGGTAGAATTGTTGCTCCCTGTTTCCTTTCCCTTGAGTGAACAAATTGGTGTGGACGATATAAGGATCTCCACTCAAATTTCCCAAGAACTCGAAGTCGATTTCGTCATGGGTTGGGCCTTGTGAAGATAACTGCAACAAAACCCAATTTCATAAACCATCATCTCACTGCAATTGACTCTTTTTATGAACAACCAAGAATTACGAAAAAATCAGTGATTTAGTAGTAGAGAATACTTTCGTAGTATGGGGCCTTAAAAACTAGAGACATGGCCACAAAATTCAATTCGGCCCAAGGGCCGGCCTGCCGAGCCTTACCCACTCTGTTGTTAGAGAGAGGGAGATACATAGCATGTAGAGAGAGAGAGAGAGAGAGAGAGAGAGAGAGAGAGACTTACATAGTAGGCAGTAACAGTGCCAGCAGAGTTGCCTGGTACGAGCTTGATTTTCATGTGGATGTTACCAAAGAGATATTCATTCTTGGATTGAAAACCAGAGCCAGAGTAGTTGTCTAATGAGAGTTGGAGGATCTCACCATTGTTTACTATCTTAGCTCTATCATTTCCCCAAGTAATATCAAAATCAGAGTAAAAATTAGCCTTACAACCAACAATCAAAACACCCCAAATAACAAGCGCTAAAACCCGACCACATATACAAAAACACAAGAAAGGGCCAAATGCCATAGAGAGCGAGAGAGAGAGTTACTGGAGTGGTGCTAAGAAACAATCAAGCAATTTTAGAATAGCAATATATATTTAGAGAGAGAGAGAGAGAGAGAGGGAGATAGGCAACAATGAGTTGAGAGGCGCAGTAGGTGATGATTGGACAACAAAGAGTTCTATCCAATGGGTATTAGTTAGAGAGAGAAAGAGTAGGGGTGTTAAGTAGCTAGGGGATTAGAGATAGAGTTTGTGAAGAGGGTGGACACTTTTGATTTAAAAACTTTGGATTAGAGTGACTTAGCAGGTGATGAATGGACAATCGAGTTGCAAGTGGGTGTTGGCTAGAGAGAGAGAGAGAGAGATTGTTAAGTGGCTATTGGCCTAGAGAGAGAAAGAGACTTCTCAACGAGAGAGATATAAAGGTGCAAAGTGGCAATTGGCTAGAGAGAGAGAGAGAGAGAGAGAGAGAGAGAGAGAGGTTTGTGGGGGGATGGAGAGAGAGGGTTGGGATATAAATAGAGAGAAGGAAATGAAAGAGTAAGTGTAATGAGTGAGGTTTTGAGTGATGTACAGCTGGGCTTTGCTGTGTTTTATTTTACTCCAACTTTAGCCTCATTTCTTTTGGCCTGCAAAAACATAGTTTAATAGTAATGGTATATTATCTCTTTTTTGCCCACATAGGCTACTCCTGCAGGAGCATACTATACATTTACTCTCTCATGCAAACGACCTACTTTGGGGGATTTTCCTCAATTTGACAATGTGAAGCCGACGAATGTTAATTATAAAACGAAGGATTTGAGCTCCCAAAACTGGCCAATATTCTTATCTCCAGGATTCTTGTAATGGAGTTTTCAAAATTTCAGACAGATTAACCAAACGTAGTACTAGATTTTAGACTTTTAAATTCCAATATCGATTTCTTAGAGCTAATGTGCGATTGTCATAAAAAAAAAAAAAAGCCTATTTCGAGCTCTTAAACACTTTGATCCGGTAGTCTAATAAGGGTGAGGGCCTTAAACTTTTCTTTAACTTGCCCCAAGCGCGGGTAAAGGAGTAAACTTTGCCACATCTTATCGTAAATCATAAACGTATAGCTCTAGTTAGAGAAAAATAGAAGAACACGATTCATGTGGCCGACTTCGAATAATTGAGATAAGACATAAATAATGATGAAACGCTTTGATCTGGATATTCAAATATTCAACAATCTGTGCTCAATTTTAGGATATTGTTTTTCTAAAGCTTAAAGAGTGCATATAAATTTTTTTCTTTTTGCATAAATCAGATGTATAAGGAAGTTATGTCTCAAAATTTTATTGGTTCTAAAAATACTCTCATCCAAAGAATCCGTATGTGAAAATTTAAAATCCTAAAAATACTCTCATCCAGATAATCAACGTACAATACGCTCTCGCAGGACCATGTAAACTTTTAGGTTTAATATTTGCAGTGACACTTCTACCTGATCCACACTCATGGTTTAGTGAGTTTTCAAATATGTGAAACTCGTGGCTTTGCATCTAATGGGCAGGCCGTGGATATGGGTGAGCCCATTGAATAGCTTTTGTCAATAATCAATTAAGAAAACAAAACGATGTGTTAGGTTTCAACATAAAACAATTTGAGTTAGAATAGCAACTTCTAGAAGAGTTAACATATTTTTATTAGATTTCAGAAAGCCTGTCATAATATGATAAATAGTTGATAAGTTAGGTGTAATAAATTTCCCTTTTTAAACTTTTGTGGTTTGTGTATTTGTGGAAGTAACATGTGTATGTACGTATGCGTATCTGTGATTTGTTTTTATTAAATTAAGATTATATCTTATAAGATAATTTAATTTTGTTATAAAATATCACAATCACTATTAATTGTCAAATGTGAATTTAAACAGCTCAATAGTTACTTTTTAAAAAAAAAATATTAACTTTGACATTCCTTTGGAAAAGTTTGAGGATAGATTTTTTGTATTTAGAGCTAGCACATCTCTAGCTGTATGATTTCACTGTCGATGCCTACGAGTGACTGTGGGCATCATGCATCGAGGAAAATAAATGTCTTATTTTAGTTATTTGTGTTTTCTTGCTTCATTTGCTTCTACTTAATTTAATATTAAGGAAAAATAATTATAATTTCTTTTAATAAACCCAAAATATTTTGTACTCCCACAAGAGTATATTGTTCATTTACTCCCCTGGGTAAAATTCTTAAAGGAGTAATTTGAATATTATAAATTTTGGGAATGTAGCCCCATAGTCTGACCTTAGCAAAAACATTTCTACATTGAACTCTCTATGTAATAGAAACATAATAAATTTTCAAGATTGAACAATGGCTGTCTAATTTTAGAAGGGTGAGATCTCTGAAACAAAAAAAAATCAAAAATCAAAATTTTTCTTTTAAAAATAATCATATAATGATTCTTGGGCAGAACCCAAAATTTAAGATTGAAAAAATCGTCCCATGAGTGATGATCCCACCCTCAGCAATTGACATTTGACTAATGGATATGCTCCTAAGGGAGCATAGTATATAAGCTCTATAATAATACTCCCCATATGTCATTTTGGCGTGTCATTTGATGTTCCATTTGAAATTTGATATAATGATGATCAAATTTAAACTAAATAAAAAATATATGGGTCATTGCTGGCAAAGTTTTTTTTCTAACTAATTGTACGAATCCTCGTTCGCCATTATGCCTTAATAAGGACCATATTTTCAGTGAGGTCATAAGTCCCTATATTTCTTCTTACTACTTTCAACTATATCCATTTGGACCTACCTCTAAAAAAATAAGGATAAGATGTGAAATAGTTGGAAGTCCAAACCTTGGGTGCAATTTGATAAATTTCACTTGTTTTCGTAAATTAGGAGTGCCACTTTAATGGAGCATTTATTTATAATTATCTTTGAAAGGGAAGTATAGGATAAATTCTATAGTTTACGAAATTCAATTCATTTATTTTTCAAGAAAATTTTTTTTATATATTTCATTATTAATATGAATTTTTATCTTTTAAGACCAAAATTATCCTGATTTAATAGTAGCCTTAACCATTTTCTCTCTCCTTCCAAAGTAGTCAATCTTTGAGTCCTCATTTGGTTTTTTTTCATATATGGAGTACACAATGAGTTTTTATTTGAGTTTTTTAACATTTAGATTTTAGTGTCTGAAAATTGAATGGTATCTATTCAATCTCAACTTTTTTTTTTTTTTTTCAAGTGCATGGAGGGTGCAATTAGGACTTTATTTTTTTATTTTTATTGAGGTTCCAAAATTTGGAGTCCTAAAATTAGTTATAGGAAGGGTTTTATCTAAGGGAGTAAATGGAAAGTATACTCCCATGGGAGTATAATAACGTTTGACAAAAGAAAACATCACCATCATCGTCAAAGCTTTTTCTCAACTAATTTGAATCGGCTACACGATTCCTAGTTAAAAAAAACATCCTTAACTAAAAGAAAACTCTTAGTATCTCTATGATATTTCCCATGTATTTTTTCCCCTAAATGTATAGAAAGCAATTTTTGCAAACTCCACCGATTCAACTCGGAACTGGCCTATTAGATCAGAACCGAACACTGGCCAGTTCCAATTTTGGCCATATTGGTGATAAGATAAGGTATTTTAAAAAAATTCAGAAGAAATTACATAAAATCGCAAAAAGTAAGGGATCTGTTTGTAATGTGTTTTTGAATGTTTTTTATCATTTTGAAAAATATTGGAAAATTTAGCCATGAATACTTATTTTTATATTTTTTCATATTTTTAAAATAAAAAATACTCATGGGCACAAAACAATTTTTTAAAATCTATTTTTTAACTAATTTTCAACTTCATTTGGATGCGTTTTTATCTAATCATACTTTAAATATAATTTTTATATTTTTTTAGATTTTATTTTAATTTTTTAAACACTTTTTTGACTGACCAGTACTTGTCTGATTAGGCCAATTGAATCGGCCGATTTATTGGTTACTCAAAAGTGGCCCTTAGCTGGTTTTTTAAGTCAATTCAGTTTTTTTGAACATTGGTATAAAGCAATTTGTGAAGAAAGAAGGCAACTAGCATTTTGAGAGGTTGAATGTGCTCATTATTCCATAATCCAAGTGGCGTGCCTTTATTTCACGTGTGATACCAAAAGTAGACCATTCCTATCAACTTGATCCACACCTTGCCATTCTCCCTTGTGGTCACTACATAATCCTTGAACTGTCTCTTTCCCCTCCATGAGTTATCACGCCTACCATCTACTCACACACTCTCCCTCTCTCTATCTCTCTTGACAATATTCATAATTTTATTCATCGAAGGATATTACAAAATGCTAAGCAAAGGCTACATCAGAAACAACTAGAGAAGGAAGAGTCACTCCCCTCTTCGCATACGCATCTTCAACATCATTCAACAACATTAACTTCACAAAGCGCATGTCTAAAGGACAGACATAGCATATCTCCAATATCCATTGCTTCCATCTGAATTGATCTTAATCTCCAGGGTGGCCTCCATGTCTTAGAGCACCAATTAATCACATTTAGAAAATCACCTTCAATAATACAAGATACTGAATATTCTTGTTTTTTAAAATTTTCAATCCTTGAAGAACTGCTAATAATTAAGCCACGTTCTCTGTATCTCTACGCAATGTCCCACAAACAAAATAGAATATCTTCGCTCTAGTCTCTTTGTTCACAATGACAATCGGAAAGATCTTTAGAGGAAGCTCCATCGGATCCAAACCACAAACTAATTTTTTAAGAGTGATAGAGAGTGGACAAAATTCAAATTCTGATTTGAGGCCAGATCTATTCAGAAATGAATAAATCCACTCTCAGATCAGTGGCAGATCTAACATTAATCCAAATACATGAAATATTGAATGAAACACAAATAAGATATTAGATCTAATAAAAATGACTGAAAAAAATAAAGAAAATGAAGATAAGAAGAATACTTGGCCGGGGCCAATTGGCCCAGCAAACCCGAGGCTTCGAGGCCTCACCCATATCAGAACCACGGCTGGAATTTTCGTCGTGGATCCTCCGTGTCTCTCTTCAATGTTGATCAAGCCTTGGATTGGTTAAATGGTCTTCTTGGATCTCATCTAATGACTAGGGTTTGCTATGTATTTCCTAGATCTAGGGTTTCTCACAAGTTTTCTCTCTGGCGAGTATCTCATTTTCTAGTTTTTTCTCTCTCTGATTTCCTAGGCTAACCACATCTAACCTTAAAAAAGTCCCTATGATTTCCTATCATACACGTCTCACCCCTTAAAGAAGCGCGTTAGTGTTTTTCTTATAGACTCAAAAGGAGTGTAGAATGGATAATTACTAAAAACAAGGGTGTAGAATAGATAACTACTAAAAATTATACGATTTTTCAAGCTACTAGATCACATGATGGGGATCATGGATTACGGTGTTTTATGGTTCAGGGATCTTATGAAATATTATGGTC